CACACCCCCGAGCTTCAACGGGAGGTAGAGAAATCTGTGCTGCATGGTGATCATCCAGTCATCGATGGGAGGCTTGTAAGCGGTGATTAGGTTGACGAGACAGAGATGCTAAGACAACTAGAAATGATACCCGGACATCTTGAAATTATATTCGGACAAGTTGACTTCTAAAAGGTATGGACCGCGTGGGCCTTTGACCTTTCACTGATCTTCGTTTCTCGTCACGGAGACGTAACCAGCCTGGGTTACCCGATCAGCCGTTGCTTGCGCTCCTCAATCGCATCCTTGGACATTCGTAGGTTCGGTGAATCGCCCTGGGGAACACCACGAATTGAGCTGTGTATACATTTTAATTTATCTTCTCATGATAGTATCGCTTTGAATGGACTCAGACTTGTTGAATCCGTCTTCTGAGGCTTGCGCGTAACCCAACTTANCAACTTAGCTCGGGATCCCGACTTATAGAACATACTTCTCAATTAACCAAAAGATGTGGGTTTGAATTGTAACAACGCAATATATGAAGTCCAAAATAAGTGGGAATACAAAAACAGTAGTGAAGTTCATGCTGAACTTTCTAATGATAACGATGGGATTAGCCGTCAAAATAGGACAAACCATGGGCTTTCGGACAGTGCTCAAACAACAAAGGTATTCAGATTCGAGGGAAACAATGAGCCCCAGAGTGTTGTATGTATCTTATCATGACTGGCGCAGAAAGACACGGATTCGTACATGCCCGATTGCGAATGTCCATGTGTGTGCAGACTCACCCCATTGGGACCGTTTGGAACCCCATTGGGTTTGTTATTCTCATCGGTTTGGGTGAAATGTTCTGTCAGGAGTAAATGCAAATTAGCCAGCTCGAAACCCTCGTCAACCACATCCCGAAATCCTTCCACTGTGTCCGGATCGTCTGCACGTCCCGTGATTGTGGACCAGTTCGAGATGTTCCGGATAAATGCGCGCATTGTGGGCATCTGGGCTGAGACATAACCGTTAAGGAATCGCATATAAGGTTCCTACAAAGTATTGAAAAGCGAGAAGATTCCGCAAAATGAGCAAATCAATGATTGCTTTGCTTTTGTATCGAAACACGGCAATCAATGAGATGAATCCATCGAAATACACAGTTTGGTTGTCGTTTAAGCTAGGATTTTGTTGATGTTGGATTACGAGTTTGATGACCAACACCACAGTAGACTTGCATATACGTCGCCAACCCATCAAACGCCCACAAAAATAGTGGGAGGGCGAGCGAGTCGGATGAATCTGAAACTAATTCATCAATTCGTTTTTACACAATCTCATCAGAATCACACTTGCCCTGATTGATAACTAATTCCCGCCACTTCGGATTCAGCAAACAAGACAGTAAGTAATGCACACACGTTTGGTCTGATATACGAAATTCTATCGTACGACAATTTACAACCCTGATTGAGCACCTGAAATTATTCCGTTATTAACACGTGAGCGTTGAGCGGATGACTGCAATCATACAACTGCAAACTGGCACGATTCCAGACAACCCAGATCTGTGGACCGAGCAAAGTAACCAATGTCTCACCTTATCATCAAATGCGGTAAAATTGGCCAATGATTGCAATGATTTGGCCAACAGGGTCAGATTACGCTGACACCAGGGCTCGCTCGGGAACGCGCTGACCAAACCGAACAGGGATGGGGACAACAGGGCGGGACAGATGAGACGAAGAAATATACAACCGGAGATCAAGTTGTCACAGAATTCCGCACCTCGTTGCGGTTCGATAGCCGATCGGAATGAACTGAAAACTCGGATGAGGGCGCTGTAAACAGACAGACAGACAGCGGAGGGAGGGGGCATACGATCAAAGAGAGAGAGAGGGAGGAAAGGAGTCATGGTTTCAAAGAGGGTATTCGTCGTGTACAGAGAGCAAATGATGTGTGAACTGCATAGCTAGGCTATTTCGATCTGGTTGGGTCTTATTCGTGCAGTGCGAGAATCATCCCTTCATCATCATCCCTTCCCCCAACTGGTTGATCATGTGAATCGAATCATACTCGACTAGCGTGGCTGATGAAACTCGTGCAAATTTGACCGATGGCGACAATGAACCAGATTCAAAACATTGGAAAAAGCCTTCACTTTGTACCCTTTCCTTTTACCTCTACCCGGTGTTTTGCACCACGCGGTAGAAAAAAAATCATTTTTTTAATTAAGTTTTTTCGTAAATTTATCCTTTAATACTGTGCATATATGGACTAATCCGGTCACATAACAGTTATTCTCGCTATCCAATATCATTTCCAGATATAAATAAACGGCAAAATGCTGGAAACTAACATTTAATCCACGCATCTGATCCCGGCGTTGGTTCGCAAAGAAAAATCGATTTTCCGCTCTGCTTACGATTAACTGGAAGCAGTTAATCTCTTTAAAGTGATTCTAAAACACCGGGCCAGTAATGATCAAGCTTTCTCCTCCATCTGATGTCTGTCACCGCAAAATTAAAACGCCTCAGCTGTTGTAGACATAAGTTGTTGTGGAACAGTTTTTCGAAAATTATGAGAAACCTCATCGTTCAACCTCGGTATTTTTCCTCGACCTTCGATACCTGTTCAAACTGACATGAAACTGTTGAAGCCTGACATGTATCTGGCGTGACTTGACACAATGATAATCATATTTAGTTGGTGCAACCATCACGAAATGGTGAGACGATGGTCGCGTTTTGATAAGACTAAGCTTCCAGTAACACCCGTCGTCCATTTTGTTTGACATTCCTACTAGACCAACTAAGGTAAATTACTACTCGCTCACTCGCTCAGTGGTCCAGGGCACAACGTCGGACGTCAACTCATCTAAACCTCGGCCTGCGTCATACAAAAAGTACTTTTGTCTGTTTATGCAGAAAACAGGCCATTCCAACTGACCAGGCGGTGTGATAGACCTGGACTAACTGGGAACGTGTGTTTAGGTGATTGACCACTCACTTTACAAGGTTCCGTAGAATGCGATTGATGGATTCCCTTGAAGTTACAAGGGTTTGACTTGAAGCGGTATAGAGTGACAAATTTCCCACACTTTCTTGGCATACTCTGTAAGCGATTGTGAATAATGTCCATGTCGAAAATATTGCACGCTCTGGTAGAGGACACCATTAGTGTGAATTCTGGCACCGTTGTACGTTTCCGGAAAGAATGCCCTTGAATTTTTTGTAAGACTACAGTCCGGACAGCACACAAGCCATATAATTGTTTCAGTGCTAGATGATAATCAGTACTTTGTGGGATACGAACCATGGCATCATCTCTCTGGATAATGGCCTCCACAGGGGATCATATGATGGCAATTCCGGCAGAAAGTGTTAAACCAATGTATGAAGATTAGAATCGGATATCATCATCCGATGCAGTACTGTTAAACCGTCAACCGAGAAAGCCTAACATACCATTATCGATTTCCATAGGCTCACCGGAGGACTGTCCTTTCTGCAAGTCATGCCAATAGAAATTCCACGAGCTGGGTCAATCTAAATTGAATATTTTTTTCGTTACGAAAAAATAAACGAAATTCTATTCGTTTCTCTACACATGACGAGAGTGAGAGGCCAGAAACAAACGCTTGTTTTATTTTTGTTTGTTCGTCAAGTTTTGAGAGCTGCGCGGATTCATATCTAATATTTTACCCAGGTGACCGTTTCAAGTGTTCGTTTCCAAACCTTAACCAATCATCGATGCTGGATTGCATTTCTCAGTCAGTGCCATAAGTGACGGTAACTTGTATTGACCCACTTGGATTTCTTTGTTCCTCCTTCAATGTCATTGAGAGAGAGGCAAGTATTGGATTATTATCATTGCGGTGTTACAGGACCCTATCCTACTATATCAGTCTAACGACCGCGAACTGATCGAGGATGTCAGTTACCACGGTGAAGGAGGGATGTGAAGCTGCCATCGCATCGGCTATTTGAACTGATTTAGGCGTGCCAAAGACCAGTGTACAATACCGATAACACGGTGAAACCCAGGAACCGCGCTCTGTTCCAAATCCCGTCTTTTTATCGTGCAGCATGGAACATCGTCGACGGAACCCAGACAGTTGAGTTCGAATCTGGGCTGTGGGTTGGAAAGTCCGTGATCTTGATGTTCCGGTGCGGCGGGCTCTATGTATAGGGGTGTTATCACACTGGAAAAAGATGGTGCCGAATCAGTCTTCTGGAATCAGGAGGAGAACAAACTTGTTCAAAATTCTGATGCAACAGTCACCCGTCTGATTTCCTTCTAGAATGGCCAGCCGAAACTTTCTATCAACAGAAATGACATCCCAGAGCCACCACCGCCGGAGTCGTGGGCCTGACGGTTGAAGACTAACTAGCAGATATATGAATGCAGCAGGTTTATCGAGGCTAAACTTTTCTTCGTCGCTGAATATCACTCCGGTCTATTCAGAAGCCGATCTGATGTGACTTCGCAACCACACACCTCGATTAAGATGGCGGTTAGCTGTTATCCTTGATGCTGGTTTCATCTTCCTGAATTGAAAGTTTGGTGCAGTTTTTAACAACTGTTCTGCACGCGTCCCACACACACGAGTGTGATGACTTCGACGCACTCGTTACCCGTTTTTCAGTAGCATGTAAGAGCTGCCCAGTGTCATTTGTCACGAATTCAGTTACACGAATGCGGATTGGCCGAATGTTACGAACAAACCTTGATGTTGGAGAATTTTTCCAATAATCTTGCTAATACCGGTGCCAAGGTCTTTGTAGGCGAACATTCTTCCATGCTTCAGCTCGAAAAGCGGTGAAATGCGTGCGATTCTTCTGCATCGACGGCTGCGTGAATTCAACCACAACGCACGACCGAGTGATTGTCGTTCGCCTATTGTGCGCGGTCTGGACATTGTTCGATGCATCACAATGGACCATTGTTTAACACTTCTGAGACATACGGGAGCCAAACAAACGTGGCACTTTAGTGACAGCAATCGGAGTTGGGGTTATTCGGACTTCATACACCAACGGGCACATTTTCTAGAAGTAATCAGTCTAACAAGGTCATAATCAAAACGCTTTTAGTTTCTCTTTATACAGTAGTGACTTGTGTCCTCATCACACGAAATTTGATCAATCTGGGTGATTTAGTTATCGAGACAAGAATTGTACTTCGTGCACGATCTACAAATTCCCAAAATGGCGATAAACACGCCAAACGGAGTGAAAATAATCCAAAAACCTTGGAGGTGGAAAACGTTTGTTGCTGGGTGTATAAGTAACTTATTTATTAGTATGTGAGTACACCACCCATGAAACAGGAGTACATCCATAAGCGCGCAAATGATCAAGCCAATTGGAAAGAAATACTGGCCTATACATACACTGCTTGCAGGCTAATAATCACTCGGCGCGGATAGCACGATACTGAAGCCTGATTGGTTGGAGTCAATCGACCGTATAAAATGGATAAAGTTGATGTAACGTGCATATGTGCTAGCAGCCCATTAATCAATAGCCTCATGGGCATGCACAAACAATGACAAGACGATCACCATAAGACCATCGAAATGAAATCGGTCAACCAATCGATCAGGGGAAACCGGATTCGCACAGATCCGTGACAATCCCCGCTCACCTTGGAAAGCGTGGCAAACTGGCTTGTATGGCTCGCCATACCACATTCAAATAGTGCAACAGTTGTAATTGATTCGCTTTCAGGCTGCCCGGGGTCGGACGCATGGGCAAGTCGAACTCGTTGGATTTCGCAAACGCAGCCGTATCGGACACGGTAAGCGAGCCGCCCGTGGGCGAGGAAGAGGGCAATTTTTCCGGATTGACTTCCCACGCGGTCAGACAGGCCAACACTTTTTGCACAATCCGATAGAGCAGATTGTGTAAATACTACACACGCGGGGTAGGGAGCAGGGGGGTAGAGAGCAAGAGTGAGGGAGGGGAGTAACAAAGTGCACCGAAAAACCAGAACATATCGCTCGATAAAAGATGCAAGCCAGATTTAGCCACATGGTTGGTGTGATATCGCCAGCACCGGGGTAAACGGCGATCGAAAAACAGCTGTACATCATTCACAAGCAAAAGAGAATATACCAGCGAGGAAATCAGACTATGTTAGCGGACTGGCGTCGACGAGAGGGTATGTTTCTGGTACCGAGCTTGTGGATAAAGAAACCAAGTTCAAAAAGAACACCAGAATACCATAATTATTTTGGCTTCGTCGAATAGAGGATGATGCAAACTAGTATACAATGAACAATCAGTTTCCTAGTTTATCATACGATAGGAAATGGTCACTTCGATTATCAACGTATTCCTTAATTTAATAATTATACAAACAATTAGAATAGGGGCTCACGTGGATGAATCCAGCAGTGAAGTAATTAGCGTTCTGGAACATCTTTAGAGGTTGGAATTCAAGCGATATGTCAGGAAGCGAGTAGAACGGAAACACAGCAAGAACTCCGGAAGACTACCCCACCCCGCCATNCCCCGCCATGATAAAAAAACAACCGTCGAATGAGGATGGTGTACTATCGGTTTCCAAGCTAATGTGTTTTCAGTTCGTCGTTCATTTCTCATCATCTGAGCATGCAATATTCTTAATTGAACCGGAAAATGGAACACACCTTACACTATAGATAAAATAGAGAACTAAGTTCACAAGCGCGGACTAACATGAAATTTCAAATTTAATTGCAACTTGGAACACCGAGCTCAATAATAAACATAATGCGTGAAAAAAAACGGAATTGTGACACAGCTGCTGCTGCCCTTAACAACAAGATTGAACCAGAAATGCGGCAGTAGAGTAAAATGCAAATAAACGAACAATATGGGTTTTTTTCTTCACCCAACTCGGGGTGAACACCTGCACACACACGGCTTATACTACGAAAAAAAACGAACATCGGACGG